TATTTTTATTTTTTATATATAATCTTTATTGTTCAGATTATTACAGTTGTTCCTCTTTTTATCCCCCCATAGCTCCCTCTACCTGATTCCCCATCCCACGCATGCCTTTACCCCCTGCCACTGTCTTCATCCATAGGTGTAAGATTTTTGTCCAATCTCTTCCTGCACCCCTTAAACCCTTTCCCCCTGATAATTGTTAGTCCACTCTCTTTCTATGTCCCCGATTCTATTATATTCACCAGTCCATTTTGTTCTTCAGATTTTGTATTCACTTGTTAGTAGGTATGTATTTGATGTCTTTTTGTTGTTCATAGTTTTTACCTTTGCATTTTTCTTCTTCTTCCTCTTCTTAAAGAATACCCTTCAGCATTTCATGTAATTCTGGTTTGGTGATGATGAACTCCTTTAGCTTTTTCTTGAATGTGAAACTCTTTATCAAACCTTCAATTCTGAATGATAGCTTTGCTGGGTAAAGTAATTTTGGTTGTAGGTTCTTGCTGTTCATCACTTTGAATATTTCTTGCCACTCCCTTCTGGCCTGCATAGTTTCTGTTGAGAAATCAGCTGACAGTCGTATGGGTAATCCCTTGAAGGTAACTTTTTCTCTTGCTGCTTTCAAGATTCTTTGTCTTTTGCTCTTGGCATTTTAATATTTTATTATTTATTTATTTATTTATTATTATTTTTTAAAAATATATTTTATTGATTTTTTACAGAGAGGAGGAGAGAGGGATAGAGAGCTAGAAATGTCGATGAGAGAGAAACATCAACCAGCTGCCTCTTGCACACCACACCCCCCACTGGGGATGGGCCCGCAACCAATGTACATGCCCTTGACCGGAATCGAACCTGGGACCTTTCATTCCACAGACTGACGCTCTATCACTGAGCCAAACTGGTTTCGGCTGCTCTTGGCATTTTAATTATGATGTGTCTTGGTGTGGTCCTCTTTGGATTCCTCTGTTTGGGGTTCTGTGCACTTTCTGGACTTGTAAGTCTATTTTTTTCACCATGTAGGGAAAGTTTTCTCATTATTTTTTTTCTTTAAATCAATCTTTATTGTTCATATATTTATAAAAGTTCCTCATTTTTCTCCCCCCCTCATTATTTTTTTCAATAGGCCTTCAATACCCTCCTCTCTCTCTCTCTTCTAGCACTCCAAGAATCCAGATGTTGGTATGCTTAAAGCCATCCCAGAGGCTCCTTACACTATCCTCACACTTTTGGATTCTTCTTTCTTTCTGCCTCTCTGGTTGGGTGTTTTTTGTTTCCTCACATTCCAGATCTTTGGTTTGACTCCTGGGGTATGTTGATCTAAAGTTGAGTTTCTGTATATTCTTTATTTCAGACAGTATATGCTTAATTTCTGACTGGTCCTTTTCACTTTTTTTTTTTTTTTGTATTCTCATTAAGGTCCTTGAAGGTCTTTTCAAGTTTCTCAGCAGTTTTTAGAAGGTTCTTGAGTAACCTTATAAATGTGATTATGAACTCTGTGTCGCCCAGTAGTTTACTTTTCTCCATCTCTCCCATTTGTTACTTGCTTCTGTGTCTCCTCATTTTGGTTGCCTCTCTGTGTTGATGGAGTGGCTTTTTGTGGTAGGTGACCTATAGGGGCCAGTAGCTCTGCTTTCCCAATCACCCAAGGTTGTTGCTCTTGGTGCACCCCTTTGTGGGCTGAGTGCAAAGTCTTGGTTTAGTTAAGCCTTGATTGCTGTTGGTACACTGGGAGGAATTGACCTCCAGGCCAGTTGGCTGTGAGGACCCGCTGTGTCTATAATGGAAGAACTGGTACTCTGGAGACTTATGGTACAGGCCTTGTTTCAGTGGGGCTTTGGTGCTCACTGAGTCCTCCTCCCGAATGTGTCACTAATGGATGAGTGGAGTTGAAATCTGGAATCTCACACTGAGCACTAGGTACACTGGCTTCTGGATCTCCAATGGGATGCAGTTCAACTACTGTTTGAGGCCACCCTGTAGGAGCTACAGTGAGAACCACAGTCCTTTCCTCCCTGCTTGGAGCTTGGAAGCTTTGGAGCTGTCTGCACCAGGTTGTAAGTTTGCTAGGTTAGACTGCAAAGAGAAGGGCATTCATATGCAAAAGCCCCTGCTTGGAGCTTGGGTGTGTGGGGCTGTCTCAGGGCATCACTAGGCTAGGGCGTGACCAACAGTGATGGCTGCCTGTCAGCCATCTTTGCCTCTCTGACCACGTCCCTGCGTCTTGTGCCCCAGCACAGCAAACAATTATTTTTGCATGCAGCTCTGCAAGCAAGTCACCCTCACTTTCCGACCTGATGGCATACAGTCCAGCTTTTTCCCAGAAACTTGATTTCAGAGAGATCGGGAGCTTGTCTCTCTTAGGGTTGAAGAAAGCAATGCCCTCCATTAGCTGGGATCCGCTGCCAACCTGTATTGCGCGCGCGTGTGCCCTGAATGCTCCTTTCTCTTTCTGTCTAGTTGTAGAGCTTACTTTCAGCCAGCTTTCCCGTGGTTCTGGGTGATAGACATTTTGTCTTTTAGTTGTAGTTTTTAAATTGTTGTGCACAGCAGCAGTTTAGGTGTGTTTACCTTAGCTGCCATCTTGGATCCTCCATAAAGTGGTATTGACTATCTTTCATTAATGTATAAACACCTAGCCTGTTTTGTCTTCCAGTTGGAAAGTATAGTGTCAATCATCGGTGACTGACAGGGCACTTAATGTTAACTGTGGATTAGAATATACTAATATCCCATGCATAGGTTAGAAAATTGATTTTTATTTCAATGTATTTTTATTTCAGAGATGAAGGGAGAGGGAGGGGAGATGGAAACATCAATGATGAGAGAGAATTATTGATTTGCTGCCTCCTGCAAGTCCCCTACTGGGGATTGAGCCCACCACCCAGGCATGTACCCTTGACTGGAATTGAACCCAGACCCTTTTGCTCACAGGTCAATGCTCTATCCACTGAGCCAAACTAGCTAGGGCAGAAAGTCAGTATCTTAAATGTTGAGTTTTTGCCATATTTGTGGGAAATAAAGTTATTGTTCTGGTCTATAAGCAGGTGTTAAAATTATCCTTTTCCCAGCTGAAGGCACTTTTTGGCTTTCTGCAGGTTTCTAACATTGCGTGCTGTGATTTTATAATGCATACATACAAATGTACATGGAAAAGGAGAACTGTGGGTGATTTCTCCACATAATGTTACACAAATCTCAGTGCAATGGAGAAAATTAATGACAGCCGGGACCGGTTTGGCTCAATGGATAGAGCGTCGGCTTGGGGACTGAAGGGTCCCGGGTTCAATTCCAGTCAAGGGCATGTACCTTGGTTGCGGGCATATCCCCAGTAGGGGGTGTGCAGGAGGCAGCTGATCGATGACACTCTCTCATTAATGTTTCTAACTCTCTATCTCTCTCCCTTCTTCTCTGTACAAAATCAATAAAATATATATTTAAAAAAAAAAAGAAAGTTAATGACAAACATTATAAAAATAACCTCCATTTGTTAGAAAAGTGCAGTGAACACAAATAAGATATGAAGAGCAACAGACAAGGTAGTTTTCCATATTTTGTAAATGAAAATATTACGTGAGTGATAATTTATGAAAATTTGGGAATTTAGTTGAATGCTCAAAATTTTTTGGTTAGGCTAACATACTTTTTCTGTCTTTAAAATTTTTTATAGTATAAGGGAAGAAAGTATAGCGTGACAGTTTCTCAAAAGACACACTCCCACCAGTTAAGATGGAACTATCTAAATAAGATCTTAAATTGTATTTCCATTTTACTAATATTATTTGAGGAATTTTAGGTAAATGAAGATAATTGGAGAATATTAGGTACAATTGTGAAAATATGAAAAGAATGAGGAAAAATATAAATTCATAATGTTACTCATGTAGGAAATGCAGTAATTGCTGACCTAATCTCATCACCCTGATCTTTTTGTCTAAATTTGCTTTATTGCATACATAACCATGCAGCTCTTCTTTCAAATTATTTAATGAAAGTGAAGCATAACTGTGTTTAGTGGTAAGAATATTTTTTTGTTAAGGATATTCATGTGGGTTATAAAAAATAACATCAAAATTACCTCATTGAATACATTGTTTTGATCTTAGTCGAGAATTCCCACAGGGATGAGGTTTGTTTAAATTTTGTTTCTCAGCTTTATTTTCACTTTGGATTTGTGCACATGATTAGTTTTAGGTACTTTGTATACTTAGTCCACAGTGAAACTAGACCAAAAGTTGAACTTTCCTAAGTTTTAGTCTTGGACTGCTTAGTACTACTAGGGTTTTGAAAATTCCTTTATATTAATAGAAGAAGTCTCTGTCATTCAGTAGCTTGTCTTGAATTGTGTGATTGCTGTCAGTGCTTGATAAATGGTGGAGTTGGAGGAGGGGGAGAATGAGTAACCTCATTTCTGAATAAGTTCTGTCCAAATTAAAAGAGCTTTTGTCCTCAGTTTATTTAACTAGGTTTAACCCTCCCATATCTTTCTGTTAGCTAGTGATAAAAAAGCTAACAAATAACTTTTAGGGGGTCATATGTATAGTATTAGAAGAGAGCCTTTTATATTAAAGGTTTGTGTGTTCCCTTAGCTGCCATGGTGAACACCTACTGAGCTTATGTTACTTGATGAATAACTAGTCCAGATGGCTGAACTTGGAAGATATCAAACCAAAGCCAGGTTCAGGAAACTATCCAATTGGCTCATTTTTGGGTAAGATCCATTGTGGTAACTTTCTCAATTTGTTTTAAAGTTTAATTTTAACTGTTTTCTTGATTTTTACCTAGGTTACAAAATATTCTTTATGCTCAAGACCTACAGACTACATGTCCAACAAGAAGAATCCAATGGTTTTTCATCCCTCAAAGATACATTAGAAGCATAAATATGGTGCCAAAAGAACTTTCTACGTTTCTCTGACTACGGTTCATTTGGACATACTTTTGTACTGAAGAGAGGTATACAGCCTGAGGCTATTCATTGTGGAGAGACTCTGCCGTGTAGGATAATGGACCATCCTAGTAGGGAGAAGGATGAAAGACAACGGACCACTAAACCCATGGCACCAAGGAGTGCACACTGTTCCCGACCAACTGGCTCCTCAACATCCTCTGGGGTTCTTATGGTGGGACCCAACTTCAGGGTTGGCAAGAAGATAGGGTGTGGGAACTTCGGAGAGCTCAGATTAGGTAAGAACTTGGTTATGTTCGTGGCTTCCACTAACTACAGCGGTAGCTATAATAAGCAGTGGTGTCTTTCACAGCAAGTGGTTTTTAATTTTATGGGAAATTCTCTTAAATAAGAATTCTCTTAAGAACCAAAGAATTTATGAATGGGATAGTCATTACCAGTTTATAATTGTTATGCAAGGTTCATGCCTATGTGTATATAAGCTTTTACATTTTCCATTAATATTTTGATGTAGGGAGCTCTGCATACAGATAACAATAAAATGAAGATTCCGATTTAGTTGGCCTAAAAGTTAGAGCCCTAAATGCTATCTTTCTAACAGACTTTCAGGTACTATAGATGCTGCTAGCCTGGAACTCCACACCTTGAGAAGAGAGTAAGGTCTTGTTTTAATTCAGACCTTGTCCCTGATAAGGCAGTAATACCCAAATTTAATCTTCAAGGATATATATATATATTGTTTAGAAAGGCTTTCCAACTGATACTATGCATTTTTTTTCCTGGAAGTCCCAGCATTAGGATTGGGCTAAAATTTCAGGGAGAAATTATGTAAATGTTTTTTCCCAAACAAGGAAATTGATTTTTTTAAAAACCTCACATGAGGATATGTTTTTCATTGATTTTAAGGGAGGGAGGAGGAAGACACATCAATGTGAGATAGAAACATTGATAGGTTGCCTCATGCACATGTCCCAATCGGGGATCGAACTTGTATGTGCCCTGACCTGGAATCGAACCAGTAACCCTTAAGGGCAGGGGACGACACTTTAACCATTGAGCAACACTGTCCAGGGTATGCGGAAATGAATTTTTTAAATTTAAAGTATAAATTCATGAGTGAGATGATGACTAATGACAAAATCAACCAGTTTGAAATTGGGAAGAGGGTATATTGGCTGTTTGTTTATAATTCACCTCCTAGGAGAATGAAGAAGAGAAAATGAAAGATTTTATGAAGTTGGACTTCAGCTTCTAGAATGAAAAGGTTCCCTTTTAGGCTAAAGTGTTTTCCTTTTCTTCATAAACGTTGAGGCTATGACCTATTATGAAGACTCCTTATAGGAGACTTTGGCTCTTGGGGGAATTCAGTCAAACCTTTCTCCAACTCAAACAATTCTGCTTCTTGACCCAACAACCCTTTCATGCTGATACCTGTTAAATATTTCTCAGGCAACGAAGGAGAAAATGCGAGATATGAGTCAGTTTACTGCTGTTAACATTTCAGGATATTGTACTGTGAATATTTTCATGTATCTTTTGCTTTTTTTTTACTGCTTATTAAATTTTCATTTTTTACTGTACATTTCATTTCCTTCTTGTTAAATTTTCATTTATATCTTATTTTTTTGTTTTTAAAGTTTATTTATAGAAAAACAGTACATTATACATACTGTATATAAGAAAGGTTAAAACAGGGGTCTGGAGCAAATTATTTATAGAAAAAGTTATTTATAGAAAAACAGTACATTAGACATCCTGTATATAAGAAAGGTTAAAACAGGGGTCTGGAACAAATTATTTCACTTTACATTATTCCTTATAGGAAAAAAATGATTTGGTTTTTCAAACAAATCACTTCTCAAACAGCCTTTGGAATGAATTAAGTTCAGGAACTGAGGTTTTATTATTCTAATACATGCAAGAAAACATCACAAAAGAAATGTTAAGCAAAAGAAGGCAGGCACAAAAGAGTGGTTTATTATATAATTACCTACATTTGTAGATATTTAAAATAGGCCAAACTAATTTCTTGTGATTACAATCAAAATAGTTTACTTTGGGTGGCGATGGATGAGGGTTATTGATTGGGAAGAGGCACAAGAAAACTTTCTAGTGTGCTGAAAACGTTCTCTCCCAAGATAGTTACATGGTTATGTGTATGGATATGTAACAATTCACTGAGCTGGTGCATTTAAGGTTTGTGCCATTCACTTCATGTTAGTTATACCTCAATAATAAAAATAAGTGTTAAAATTATTTTAAAGGCATATCAGTTGTACAAGAGGATTAAAGTTTGATTTTAGATATTAAGAGTATGTGTCAGTGATCCTTATACAGCTTTTCACCTGTTCCTCAGAAGGAGTTGCTTCCAAATTACTGAAGGATCCCGGATTCGATTCCAGTCAAGGGTTTGTGCGTTGGTTGCAGGCTCAATCCCTGGCCCTGGTCAGAGTGTGCGGGAGGCCACTATTCGGTGTGTCTCTCTCACACTGATGTTTCTCTCTCTCTCCCCCCTCCCACTCTCTTTAAAAATCAATGGAAAAAAATATTCTCAGGTGAGGATTAAAAAAAAAAAAAAAAGACAACTATTAATTGCCTCAAGTTCTTTGGTTGGATTTTAATTTTTATAAATTCTAGGTGGTAACTTATAAACTACTACTTTCACTTTAGGGCAAGATAATGTGACAGCTAGAGATCTAACTAAACCTGAGAACCTGAGGCTGTATGTCCCTTTATCGGTATGACTGAGAACTGAGACGCTGGTTCTTTGAAATAGTGCTGTGTCTGATGAAGCTTATGGTAAATGTTGTCTCTGAGGTGACTTACTGAAACAGGAAGTCTTCATGTAGTGGTTTTTATGGGCAGCATCACATCCAGGATTGCTGTTTCAAATGGGCTGAGTTTAGGTATAAATCCAATTTTTTAAACTCCAAAAACTATGTAATGCAGGTTTTTGTGTGTTTTTTTTTTCTATCAACACAAAGAATCCATAGCTAAAAGGCATCTCATCAATGGTACTCTTTACCCATTAAACTGCCTGCCTCTCTCTCATATATCAGATATATCAATATTTAGCTAAAGCAGTCATTCATTTTAAATGGACAGAATTTTAACTCTATATAATTAAGTTCTTCCAGAGCAAATGTTTGAGTACTATCACTCAGGAAAGTGGTTGAATGATTGTCTAGCTTTCCACATGTGGCAGCAATTTGTGTTGTCCTGTTTGGTCTAAATCAGTGTTCAGCAACCTCAGCTCATATGCCACATGCGGCTCTTTGGCCCCTTGAGTGTGGCTCTTCCACAAAATACCGTGGCCTGGGTGAGTCTATTTTGAAGAAGTGGTGTTAGAAGAAGTTTAAGTTTAAAAAATTTGGCTCTCAAAAGAAATTTCAATCATTGTACTTGGCTCTGTTTTGGCTCTATTGACTAATGAATTTGTCGACCATGGGTCTAAACAATGTTTCCTGATAAAGGAATTCATTAGAGTTGCATAGCTCAAGAGAATTATCCAGTCACCTCTAGTGCCTCTTTGGTGTAAGGATAATTGCTTTGTCAAATGGTGACATGTGTTCAGTTCTTTGATTCCCTCAGAGAAAAAAAGCAAATGGAAGCAAGCTAGCAATTTGTGATATATCAGCCATCATGTTTGGTGTTACAGAGGCTGTTTCATTTATTATACTTCTGTGATTATATTCTTTTATACAGATAATAGACGTCCGGTGCATGAAATTCATGCACGGGAGTGTGTGTCCCTCAGCCCAGCCTGCACCCTCTTCAATCTAGTACCCCTCGAGGGATATCCGACTGCCCGTTTAGGCCCCATCCCAGTAGGCAGGCCAATCGCCCCCAACTTCACTCCTCTGCTGGCTTGGTCACCCCTAACTGCCCTCCCCTGCAGACTTGATTGCCCCCAACTGCCCTCCCTTGCAGGCCTGATCCCTCTCAACTGCCCTCCTCTCCTGGCCTGATCACCCACAACTGTCCTCCCTTGCTGGCCATCTTGTGTCCACATGGGGCAGACATCTTTGACCACATGGGAGCAGCCATCTTGTGTGTTGGAGTGACTGTCAATTTGCACATTACTCTTTTATTAGATGGGAGGATTTATCCTGGTGCAGTCGAATGACCATTGCCTACTCTCTTGATTCTCTTTCTGTTCTCCACTGATTGAACATAACTTTTGACCCTTCTCTTTTCCTTATCCCTCATATTTACATGAGGTTAGATTTTTCTTCAAAATGCCTTCTGGCCAGGTAGTTCAGTTGGTTAGAGCATTGTCCCAATATGCCAAGGTTGCAGGTACGATCCCCAGTCAGGACACACACAAGAAGCAACCAATGCATGCATAAGTAAGTGGAACAACAAAATACCTTGATTATAAATCCAGTTTTTAAGTCATTCTCTTTCAGAAAGTATTGTCTCATACCTACAATAATGGAAGTAATAAAAATTAGACTTATCCACATATAATACCTTAATAAAAAAAATTAGATTTATCTATCACCTTGCAGTTTACAAAGTACTTTCATATATTCTAACTCATGTAATTTTCATAATGACACTGTATGTGGTAGATATCATTTAAATGTTCTATAAAAACCTATTTATTTTACTTGTAGGTATCTTCTCTTTTACCTTATTATATTGGATCCAGATGAGTACTTTAAAAACACAACTTTTACCATTATGCTTTTCCTCTTAGCTAATGAGATCTTTGGTGGTTTCACAGCATGTTGAATAATAAAATCAGAAGACCTATATTTGCATTTAGAATTATCCATAATTTGATAACCAGCTTTCTTTTTTATTACCTTAGAACTTTCTCAGAAGAACCTTCTTTGTATATCAAATCAGTTTGGATCACTTCACCTGACATCTGCTACCTATTATATATCAGATACTATTTTATTGCTAGAGATAAAAAGATTAGTTGAACATTCTTCATGTCCTTAGGAAATTTGTGTCTGAGGTAAAAAGATATATGCATAGCTTATTGTACTATATATGGAAGACTATGGAAGTGGGCGCTGCCTCAGTTCATTTATTTGTTTGTTTGTTTATTTCAGAGAGGATGGGAGAGGGAGAGAGGAATAGAAACATCAATGATGAGAATCATTGATTGGCTGCCTCCTGCACGCCCCCCACTGGGGATCGAGCCGCAACCCAGGCACGTGCCCTTGGCTAGAATCGGACCTGGGAGCCTTCGGTCAGCAGGCCAATGCTCTATCCACTGAACCAAACCAGTCAGGGCGTCAGTCCTTTTTTTTTTTAAAAAAAAATATATTTTATTGATTTTTACACAGAGGAATTGAGAGGGACAGAGAGTTAGAAACGTCGATGAGAGAGAAACATCGCCCAGCTGCCTCTTGCACACCTCCTACTGGGGATGTGCCCGCAACCCAGGTACATGCCCTTGACTGGAATCGAACCCGGGACCTTTCAGTCCGTAGGCTGACGCTCTATCCACTGAGCCAAACCAGTCCTGGCAGGACGTCAGTTCTTTATAAAGTGTATTTAGAAAAGGGATATTTTAAAGGAACCAAAAAAAAATAAAAAAAAAAATGGGAGAGTAGATAAAAACAGATGAGAAACGTTAACAAAATTTTGGAAGTTGGAAAACAGATAGCTAAATGGTAGCTGATTTAGCAGTCCAGAGAAAGCTGAATGATTAAAAGGATAGGCCAGTTTTTAACATAAAATACACCAGATAGGCTCAAGAATTGGAGACACTAGAAACTTCAGAATGTTAGGATGCAAAAGGAGCCAAAAACAGGAAGCATGGTTGCAGGTCTTTATGTGAAGCAGTTGGATATCTAAACCTTTTCATTCCTGGCATCACCCCCCCCTGCAGCTTCCCTTTCCCATCTTCACGGGAGACGGAAGGTTTACACTGTTGAAGGAGAACTACACTGAAAACTGGCCTTCTTGGCTGAACCTGGGGAAAATGAGAAAAAGTTACCCACTGATTAGTGAGAAACCCTCTCCCCCCAGACTCTGAAAGAAACAAATCCAAAGTGCCTGGGGTTTCTTTAAACGCTTTCTCCTCTAAAGAAATATGTGTATAATTTCTATAATATAGTAGTTTTATTGTGACTAAACCAATTTCAGCCTATACCATCTACTTCTCATTTTTTGTTAGATTGCTCATGTAGTTTCTTTTCCTAAGATGCCTTTTTACCTTCTTCAAATTAAAATCCTTTTAATTTTTTTTTACTCTTGGGGGAGGTGGCTAGAAGGAACTGTTTGGGACTCTAGCAGCCAGTCCTTTGTCTCACTCAGCCACAATCCCCACTGTGTTTTTTGTTTGTTTTGTTTTGTTTATTTTGTATGTGTATTTATTGATTTGAGAGAGAGAGAAAAACATCAATTTGTTCCATTTAGTTGTGTATTCATTGATTGTTTCCTGTATGTGCCCTGATTGGATATCAAACCCACAACTTCGGAATATGGGATAGTACTCTAACCAACTCAGCTACCCAGCCAGGCTAATCCCTGCTGGTTTTTACAGCCAGAAGTTATAGGGACTTCTTTTTCTGGTACTGAATCCCTGGGTTTCGACCCCTCCCTCCTCAGAGGTGACTTCCACGGCTGAGATATTCATCCTGATTTTTATCTGCCACATGTTTGTTTGGTATACCATCCGTTCCACGTCTTCGCCCTTCCTACCAGTCTGGATGTGGCTTCTTTATATCCTTAGTTGTAGGGTTTCCACTCAGCTAATTTCAAGTGGTTCTGAGTGATGGTGGTTCTGTAGTTTAGTTATATTTTGATATCTATACAAGTAACTTTTAGTAAGTTAAAGTTTGGGGTGTCTGAGATGTGTAGAGCATAGTCTTAAGCAGCATAGGACATTGACAGAATTCTTAGATAAAATCTCTACTCCTCAAGGTATTTGTAGTCTAGCTGACTAAGATAGTTCAAATAAATAAGAAGCAATGTAAAGTCCAGTGCAGTGACTATATATTGTATTCAAAACACTAGGGAGGAATTAAAGCTTTTAAGAATCAATGGGGTTAGGGAGGTGAAGGTAGCTAAGTACCCAGCATGTAATATGGGCTCACTTAGTGATAGTTATTGCTCTTATCCTCATCCTCACTGCCTAATTCCTATTCTAAATGTTTAGGAAAATATTGATTTTATTTATACAAGCAGAGAGATTGATAGGAAAAATTGTTTTTATTTCAGGAAGAACTTTTAAGATGTTTAAATGTTGTTGGAGAGCTTTTTCCTGCACATAGTGAAAGATACAGAGCTAGAGTTTCTAGTGAAGGGTCAAAACAGCTTTGAGAATCATTTCCTTATATACAGTAGATACGTTTTCCAAAAGATGATTAGGACAATAGTTGGTTTTATTTCACACTGTTCTTTATACCAACTAATATTGACACTAAATACATGATAAAAAATATAAAATCCCCATTTGTCAGTGAGTTGAAAAAATGAGGGTATGTGTTTATTGTGCCAAGAGTTAAAAATCTCTGTATCTTTGAAATTCTGGATTTTTTTTTCTTGGTTAATCTCATGGTATAATTGTTAGGGAATATTAAAATAAAATGTGCATACGTGAGAGAGGTAAATAGATTTTTTAAAATATTCTTGTTTCTAATTAAATTTTTCAAGTTCTCAAGCTGTTTTTTGTTCTTGTCTTGCTGGGTCTTACCATCTTTATTTAGCTTTTCAGTTATAAATCATGTTTTATATATGTGAACAGCTTTGGGAATGTGACCTTTCTCATGACCCTGTAAGCTAAGATTTTGCTTTGTATTTCCCAGAATAAGTGTCACTAAAACATACATTTTTTTTCTAGGTAAAAATCTCTACACCAATGAATATGTAGCTATCAAACTGGTGAGTAGAATCTATATTTGTACTAGGTGTATATTGGTGCTCTCACCCTCACTTATATATATTTTTTTACAGGAAATAATTGTGAGCATTTACAAAAATATTAATTTTTTTATCTTGCATACGATCCCATAAAGTCATTTTCCTTCAACTATATATATAGTGTTATAGTTTTGAATCACTATATAACTATATACTATATAACATTATATGGTACTAACTATAGTTTAGCCATGGTGATTCAAAAATAGTTAATAAAAATATTACTGGAAGAAAAAAAAATCACTGCAAAACTAGTAATTTTTGTGAACTTTATACCTTTCACAGCACTTTTTAAAAGATAAAATTGGCTCAGTGAATAGAGTGTCAGCCTGCAGACTGAAAAGTCCCAGGTTCAATTCCAGTCAAGGGCATATACCGGGCTGACTTGCAGACTGGGAGAGCAGCAACACAGTGCAGTGGTGAACATGTCATTTGATGGGAGGAACAGGAAGGGGTTGGGCCCAGGGTGGAACTGGAAGGGGTGGGGCCCAGGGCACGTGCAGATTGGTGGCTCAATGTCTCGGTGATGTCCTGGCGGCAGACTCTGGGGAAGGGAAGATCTATCAGTCATTACTATTTCTATTTGGTCCTTGTGAATTATTAGTAATTTTGCTAATAGACAAATTCCTTAGTATTCTGCTTTGATAGTGATACAGTGGGAGATCTAAAACCAAATGGAGATCAAGAGAGATTCCCTCCTTATCTATAGAGCTAAATGAATAAAGAAGTGACTTTACAATATAATATTCTGTATTTTTCTTTTGGCTACAAGAATCTTGAGGAACTTGAAGTCCAGTCCTAATGATTGCTACTTTTGCAATTAAAGAAGGGTATGAGTTCTTTAGGATTCCTTAGGGATATGATACAGCATATCCTTGAACAATGTTTTGCTCAGTGTCATTTCATTAAAATGTTAATGAGTTGCCCTAGGAACTTAACTCCTGTTTTTATTAGATAGCCTATGATAAAATTGATTTCTTTATACATTGTTTTGCTGCAGTTCCAAAAACCCATTGACAACTTTATGTAAGGATGTACCATATACCAGTATATATGAATTGATTTCAATAAAACCTTCCATAAAGTAAAGGGATAGCCTAGACAACTTCAAGGAAACTTCTGAATTCTGTAATTTATAGATTCTGTATCTTAAGAATAATGCAGAAAACTTCAAGTGGTTTCAGAAAGAGCTTTCAAAGGTGATCAGAGAGCTAAAATATAGGACCAATGAGGAGAGGTAAAAATAATTGAAATTACTTTGCCTGAATAAAGGAAGTTTAAGAAGGGATTGAATAGTTTTGTCATTTGAAGATAGTGATTATAGTATTTGCAGGTTATTGCAGAGCTATTTTACCTGTTATTCAAGGCATAAGAGAAATAGACTTCAATTTCAATAGTGGAGATTTCAATTACATATAAAGAACTTTTTAAATATCAGCATGAATTATCAAGGAAAGCTGTGGAATCTTCTTTCTTTGAGCCTATCTAAAAATAGGATAAGAAACTTTTTAATAGGGAAAGAACATATTTTTTAACAAGTGATGTTGGGAAAACTGGATATCCATACGCAATGAAGTTGACCCTTATCTTGCACCATATGAAAAATTAACTCAAAATGGTTCAAAGACCTAAACCTAAGAGCTAAAACTGAAAACCTCCTAGAAGAAAACGTAGGGAAAAACTTCATGACTTTGGATTTGTCAGTGGCTTCTTGGTTATTACACTAAAAGCACAAGTAAGAAAAGATAGATAAGCACTGGCTTATGTTGTGCAGTGGTTAGAGCACCAGCCTGTGCACCAAAGGAACTCAGGTTTGTTTCCCAGTTAAGTGCACATACCTGCGTTGCAGATTCCATCCCTGGTCCTGTTCAAGGTCTATCCAGGAGGCAACCAATTGATATATTTCTCTCATATCAATGTTTCTCCCTCTCCCTTCCACTCTCTCTAAAAACCAATGGAATAAGATATCCTCAGGTGAGAAAAAAGAAAAGATAGATAAGGTGGACTTTATAAAAACTAAAAATTTGCCAAAGCTGGTTTGGCTCGGTGGATAGAGTGTCAGCCTGTGGACTGAAAGATCCTGGGTTCGATTCCGGTCAAGGGTATGTTCCTGGGTTGCTGGCACATCCCCAATGGGAGGTGTGCAGGAGCTGATCGATGATTCTCTTTCATCGATGTTTCTAACTCTCTGTCCCTTCTCTTTTCCTCTCTGTAAAAAAATCAATGAAATATATTTTAAAAAAACACAAAAAAAACTAAAAATTTATATAATATCAAAAGCCTGAACAGAGTGAAAAGGCAATCCAGGAAATGGGAGAGAAAGTACTAAAAATCATATATCTGATAAGAAATTATTATCTCGAATTTACCTTTTTAACCACTTTTAAGTATGCAGTTCAGTGATATTAAGTACATTCACATTGTTGAGTATCCATTTCCAGAAATTTTTCATCTTCCTCAACTGAAATTCTATACCCATTCAACACTAACTCGCCATTTTCCTCTGACCCCAGCCTCTGGCAACCACAATTCAACCTTCTGTCTCTATGAATTTAACTACTCTATAAGTGGGATGATTATAAATCCTTTAATAACTAGCTTATTTAACATAATGTCCTCAAGGCTCATCCCATGTTATAGCATGTGTCAGAATGTCCTTGTTATTGCTGAATAATATTCCATCTTATGTGTGAAACAAAATTACCCACATTTTGTTTATCCATTTAGTTGTTGATAGATACCCAAGTTGCTTCCACCTTTTGACTATGGGGGTTAATGCCAGTATGAATATGGATGTACAAAAATCAATTTGAGCCTGTCCAGCGTGACTTAGTGGTTGAGCATCAAACTATGAACCGGAAGGTCACGGTTCAATTTCCTGTCAGGTTACAAGTCTGGGTTGCAGATTCAATCCCCAGTGGGGGGCGTGCAAGAGGCAGCCAACCAATGATTCCCTCATGATTGATGTTTCTCTCTACCTCTCCCTTACTCTCTGATATCAATAAAAATATATTTTTAAAAATCAATTTGAGTTCTGATATTTTTGTGTAAATATTTAGAAGTGGGATTGTTGTATCATATGGTAATTCCATGTTTAAATTTTTGAAAAATTGCCATACTCTTTTCCACAGTAGCTCCACCATTTTGCAGCATTGCACAGGATTCCAGTTTCTCCATATCCCCAACAATACTTGTTATATTCTGTGGTTTTGATAATGGCCATCCTAATGAGTATTCAGGTATATCTTTAGGGTAGTGTTTGATTTTCTTGTTACCTAATTGTCTGGTATACTGTCAATACAGAGTAATTAATCAGCCAATTCTTGAAGTTTGTTATAGAGCAAAGTGTGAAAGTTCAGTTACTCTATCTCTGGGGTCTTTAGAAACTATTTTTGAAAACTTGATCACCATATTGTTCACATATTTTAATTGCATATATAATCTAATTTTCTTAAATGTAAAGCTAAATATACATAAAATTTTTTTACATTCACAATATTGAAAACTGAAAGCAATTCGTTTGTGTACATACATATACAGAGGAGTACTCTAGACATTAAAATAATATGCAATAAATAAACAAACAAACAAACAAATAATATTCAGCCCTGGTCCAGTGTCTCATTTGGTTGGAGTTGGGGAGGGTATGGGAGGCAACCAGTCATTGTTTCTCTCACATTGATGTTCCCCTCTCTCTCTCCTTTCCTCTCTCTAAAATCAGTAAAAGCTCTAACCCATTTGGCTCAGTTGATAGAGCATGGGCTTGCAGACTGAAGGATTTTGGGTACAAATTCGGTCAAAGGCACGTATCTTGGTTGCAGGCTCAAACTGGGAGGCAACCCATTGATGTCTCTCTCTGTCTCTCTCTCTCTGTCTCTCTCTCTCTCTTTCTCTCTCTCTCTCTCTCTGTCTTTCTCTCTCTCTCTCTCTGTCTTTCCCCCTTCCACTCTCTCTAAAAATTAAAAATCAATGGAAAAATAACCTTGGGTGAGGGTTAACCATAAATAAATAGATAGATAGATAAAATCAATAAAAACATATTCTTGTGGGAGGATATAAAAATACGCACACACACACACACACACACACACACAGTTTTACTTACTGCCATGAAAAGATGTCATTCTCACATTGTCGAATTTAAAGGCACATTTACAGAACAGCAAATGGAGCATGATTACACTTATCTAAAAAAAATTTTAGTCTATACTATGGTAATACAAGGCTAATATGCTAATTAGACTGGGAGACCTTCTGGATGTCCTTCTGGACAAAGCTGAGGGCTTGACTGGCCTGCAAACTGCCCCCAAACAGCCCTCAGGCCCTGGCCCAGGCTGGCCACGCCCCCCAAATGGACCCCCATCCTGATTCAGGAACCCCTTCAGGGCAGACCAGCCAAACCTCACCTGTGTACCAGGCCTATTACCGTATTTTCCGGCATATAAGACGACCCCCTAATTGTACAGTTAAAACATAGGTTTAGGCCTATATTCGCTATATAAGACTACCTCCCACTTCCAAGGCAACACCAGTTCTTTTTTTAATAGACTGCCTCTCTGACTTTGGCCAGACCAAGCAGGCTTTTTATGCATGCAAATTATACATGTTCTGTACCCGAAGCTACACTGTGTTCTAGTAAAAAGCCTGCGAGGGCAGTGGTATAGTGCCATCCTAGATTTCCAAGTGAGGTGCTTTCTATCTGTCCTCTTTTCTCTGTTCCCTCTGCTGAGACCTGAATTCAGACCACTGAAAAAGCCCGGTTGACTTTTTTTGTTTCAAATGTCTTATACGCCAGAAAATATGGTATGCTAATTAGACCTGGAGACCTTCTGGATGGCCTTCCAGACAAAGCCATGATGGTGGGTCTGAGGCAGAGGTGGTTAGGAGTGATCAGGCCAGGAGGGGAGGGCAGTTGGGGGCAATCAGGATTGTGGGGTGGGCAGTTGGGGGCAAGCAGGCTGGCAGTTGGGGGCAATCAGGCCAGCGGGAAGGGAGCAGTTGGGGGCAAGCAAACAGGCAGTGGGAGGCAGTTAGGGGTGAGCAGGCCAGTGGGGAGGGCAGTTGTAGGCGATCAGGCCGGCCAGGGGTGCGGGGAAGTTGGGGGTAAGCAGGCCAGCAGGCAGAATGGTTAGGGGTGAGCGGGCAGGCAGGTGAGCGGTTAGGAGTCAGCACTCCAGATTGCGAGAGGGATGTCCCAGATTGGATAGGGTGCTGGCTGGACTAAGGAACCCTCCTCTCTCCCGTGCACCAATTTCATGCATCAGGCCACTAATTTATATATATTAGTAACTACTCGGAAGGACATTCACCAAAATGTTAGTAGTGCTTCTCTATAAAATGATAGGGACTCATATTATATTTAGTTACTTCATATTTTTTTTCCTTCCTGAATGTCATTTTTTTTCTAAAAATAATAAAACTGTAAACCCAAGTTTATAATAAAACAAGCAGGAAATACATGCTGGTAATTAATTAAAAGATTTGACATCTGGTTTCCTAGGATAATACATTTCAGGAGAACACTTGATGATGAGGGGGGAACTATCCTTGAATGATGGCTCATACAGAGTAATTTTTATTTAAATATCTATGGAAGGAATTATATGTAATTTGGTTTCATCTTCTCCCTAGCTGTGATTTCAGAGAGAAATTGTGGTAAGAAAATGCTATCATATATAGATATCATCTCTAAAATATTAAGTGATCTTATGGATGAAAAAAGTGAAGAGATAAAGAAGTACAAATTGGTAGTTACAGAATAGTTACCAAAATGTAAAGTATAGCATAGAGAATTAGAGAATATAGCCCATAATCTACACTAATAGAGAAAAATGCTAATTGACCATACCTTCGCTACACCCACAGCCAATCAGAGTGAGTATGCAAATTAACCCAACAAAGATGGCTGTTAATTTGTATACACTGAGAGAGGGATAAGTGAAGACTAAAGACAGCATAGAAGGAAGAGGAAGGGAAAGTGAAAAACAAGGCAGCTGCAGAAGGGAAAGTGCAAGCGGGACGGGTGTCAGCATGTGGCGGCAGCCGTGGGCAGTGGGTGATGGAAAGGAAAGCACTGGGCAGTGGTGGTGGTGGGGGGGAGGGAAAGCGCGGGGGAGGGGGGGGCGGCTGCGGGAAGGAAAGCGTGAGGGGTGGCAGAGGCGGGAGGAAAAGCTGAGGTAGGGGGTGGAGGGCAGAGGTGGCAGGGAAAGCACAGGGGGTCATGAGAGGTGGCAGTAGTGGGAGGAAAGCTCGCTGGAAGCCCTGTTCTTGCAGAAATCTTCCTGCAACAGGCCTCTAGTCCTATCTAATAAAAGAGTAATATGCAAATTAACCATCACTCTGCTATATCCACAAGCCATGCCTATAAAGCTAATCAGGAGCAAATATGCAAATAAACCTAATCAAGATGGCTGTGGCCACAGACAGCAGGAGGGAGGCTTGGGTTTCCCTGGCAATGGAGGAAGCCAAGCTTTCCGCCTGCCCTTGCTAGCCTAGGCCTCCACTCAAGACTACAAAGTTTGAATGATAGAAGATAAATAAATCCAAACAGAAGTGGCGGCAGCCACAGAGCTGGAAAGAGGGGAAGGCTAGGGTTGCCCCTGGCAATGGAGGAAGCCAAGCTTTCCGCACACCCTGGCTGGCTCAGGCCTCTGCTCCAGGTTACAAAGTTTCAATTATAGAAGATACATAAACCCCAACAGAAGTGGCTGCTGCTAAGGAGGAAGCAGAAGGCTTAGCTCCACTCTAGGCTACAAAGTTTCAATTGTAGAAGATAAATAAACCCCAGATACCAAGGCCTCCGCTTGGGTTGCAGGGGGCATGGCTGGCCTGCAAACGACCACAGGCTCCTCGTCCATGCCACCCTATATCACAAGGGAACCCCCAACCTGATCCGGGATACCCTTCAGGGCAAACCGTGCACCAAGCTTCTATCCTAATAAAAGAATATGTAGATTGACCATCACTCTAACACATAAGATGGCTGTCCCCATGTGGTTAAAGATCCTGTCCCCATGTGGACACAAGATGGCCAGCAGGGGAGGGTAGTTGGGATGGACCAGGCCAGCAGGGAAGGGCAGTTGGGAGGAACCAGGCCTGCAAGGGAAGATAGCTGGGGGCGGTCAAGCCTGCAGGGGAGGGCCATTAGGAGTGACCAACCCAGCAGAGGAGGGAAGTTGGGGGCAACCAGGCCTGCAAGGAAGGGCGATTGGGAAGGACCCAGGCCTGCAGGGGAGAGCAGCTTAGAGAGATCAGGCTTGCAAGAGAGGGCAGTTAGAGGTGATCAGGCCTCAGGGGAGGGCAGTTAGGGGCAGACAGGCTGGCAGGGGAGCAGTTAGGCATCAATCAGGCTGTCAGGGGAATGCTTAGAGGGTGATCAGGCTGGCAGGCAGAAGTGGTTAGGGGCAGTCAAGAAGACAGGCAGGTGAGCAGTTGGGAGCCAGCAGTCCTGGTTTTTGAGAGGGATGCCCTGGAGGGGTCCCAGATTGGAGAGGGTACAGGCTGGGATGAGTGACACCCCCCCATCCCATGCACAAATTTCATGCACTGGGCCTCTAGTATTGTAATAATTATGTATGGTGTCAGATTGATGTGAGATTTATTGAGATGATTACCTAGTAAGTTATATAATGTCTAAATCACTGGGTTGTATATTTAAAACTAATATAATAATGTATGTCAACTATAATTGAAAAATAAAAAAATATTTAAAATTAAAAAAAGTTAATAAATATTAAGTGATCTTAACTCTGGTTAGTGTTGAAAACATAAAAATAGAAAAATTCCACTTGTTTAAATCTGATCTCTCTTTTTTGGGTTTCAGGAACCAATAAAATCACGTGCTCCACAGCTTCATTTAGAGTACAGGTTTTATAAACAGCTTGGCAGTGCAGGTAAGTCAAGTCTGTTTTCTCCATTTACTAAAATATAGACTGCTGGAAGCCCAAAAATTTGCACATTTTCTTGACTTTACTCTCTTACCAGACACATATCTCCTCTGCTTGCTAGGTAGGTAAATAAATATAGTTTCAAAGTTACTTGGTCTTTGGCTCTTGGAGGAGCAGTTGAGTAGATTGGGGATCTGTGATTCTATTACTGTACCTGTAAACCAACCTTTGAAAGCTTTCACCCACCTGAAATATACCTAGTATGGGGTTTTGCGTTTTGGCAACTTACTTATTCTCTTTCCACCTCTTTATTTATACCAAAAGAAAGGAAGAGTGGTTGTTAATTTGCAAGCTATATTTTACCATATTGAGGCTATCTACCCATTTTAAAGACATACTATAAATTACATGTCTGAAATACCATAACACTGTCATTTTATTCATTGTTTTCATTAATTTGGAAGACCTATATAACCTTTGAGGATTTAAGATTGTAATTTTTTTAAACATGCATTTTTTTTTTTTAAACCTAAAAGCTCTAATTTTTAAAATATCCTCCTGGTTTCCAGAAAAGTATCTTGATTTAGTAAATGTTACCAACCTTAAGGAGTTGTACCTATAGGATACTTAGCACAGAAGATTAAATCCTTCAGTGGTGGGATTCAGCATTACTTGATATTAGTAGACATTCCTTTGCTTTGTGCTTTCTTCAATGTGACAGTTTTATGTGAATGACTAAATGGTTTCTATTTCAAGTATCACTGTTGAAGGTACTATGAAGGAATTTGAGTTACACTTCCTTAGAATATAGAGAATTCTATAAGAACCTCTTGGTGTTATTAAAGTTGTCTTATACTCTGACCATTGCAATAATCAGCCATAGTCATAACCAAAGCAGGCGAGGATAGGCATTTGTCTTTCATTGAACCTAACAAGCATTCTTGCTCACAGTAGCTTCTTAGTATATATTGTTTGTTCATTGATGGTATCCTTAAATATGGAGTGTGCCTGGCATAAGATTTAAGATTGCCAACTGACTGCATAGAACTAAACTTTAAAATTGGCTGTAAATTTCATTATAATAATTATCAAAACTCTTCCACCGCTGAGCGCGGGCAATGGAGCCAAGGCCAGGGGGGCTGCTTCCTGGGCGGCGCCGTCCCCGGCAACGGGCTAAAGCAGCGCAGGAGCCCGCATAGAACAAAGGGGTGCCACAGGCCAACTAGCTGAGCTCCCAGGACAAGGAGGAAGAAACCAAAGAAGATCTCAATGTGAAGAAATCAAGTGAGAGCAAAAGATAGTAAAATTACTTAAGAAAGAATACAAAGAAGTTCTTGAAAAATCAAAGACTAAGTCAGAACTCAACTCAACAGCCAACATTGCAACATAAATGCGTTTTTTTAAAAAAGAATAAAAAAAAAAAAGGACAGAATGTTGGAACAGCGGCGGCCAGGCCCCAGAGCAGCAGCAGCCAGAACCAGAGCATCAACAGCCAGCACTGGAGCAGCCAGACCTGGGGCAGTGGCAACCAGGCCTGAGGCGGAGGCGGCCAAGCCCAGGGAGGCCAGTCCAGGAACAACCAGACCCGGAGTGGCCGGGCCGGGACAGCCGGGCCCAGAGCAGCCGGGTCGGGTGCGGCCAGGCCCGGAGCAGCGGCTGCCAGGCTGGGAGCGGCCAGGCCCGGGGGAGCAGGCGGGTCGGGTGCGGCCAGGCCCGGAGCAGCGGCTGCCAGGCTGGGAGCGGCCAGGCCCGGGGGAGCAGGCGGGTCGGGTGCGGCCAGGCCCGGAGCAGCGGCTGCCAGGCTGGGAGCGGCCAGGCCCGGGGGAGCAGGCGGGTCGGGTGCGGCCAGGCCCGGAGCAGCGGCTGCCAGGCTGGGAGCGGCCAGGCCCAGGGGAGCAGGCGGGTCGGGTGCGGCCAGGCCCGGAGCAGCGGCTGCCAGGCTGGGAGCGGCCAGGCCCGGAGCAGCAGCTGCCAAGTCCAGAGCAACTAGGTCGGGAGCGGCAGTGACCAGACCTGGAGCAGCTGGTTGTGGAACAAACCAGAGCAACAGAGGCCAGGTCCTGAGCAGCCAGGCCCAGAACAGCTCGCTCCTCGCCTGCCCCTGCCCCACGGCTGCTTCTCAGACATGGCTGGAAACGTTCGTGGGAACTTGAGGGTCTGATGAATCAAGTGATGAAGGCTTAGATCTGGATGTGTTGAGTTAGTATAGGGCTGGGGTGTTGATCTGTGAGTGCCTTGGGTGGGGCCTGGATGAGGCTGGTGGACCTATTGGGAAATGTCTTTTGTGTGAAGTGTATCATTGGGCATGTGGAGGTATTGTTGATTTGAGAAAATGCTAAGTAACTGATTTACAATCTGAAAAGGGATTTACTATTGGGGAAAGGGAGGGAAGAAGAGACTGAACATAAACTGCACCTATGGATGAGGACAATGGGGGATGGGGAGGGGTCGGAGGGTGGGGTGGGAACCTGGTGGAGGGGGGAAGAAATGAGGAACCTTTGTAATAATATGAACAATAAAGATTGATTAAAAAAAAATAAAAAAAAATAATTATCAAAACTCACTTATGATAAACATATTTTTACATTTTTCCAAAATTTAGGGCCCAGGTGAAAACATTATAGATTCAGCCTAACTTAGAAGTTTGGGTAGACCCAAGGAAAATGACAAGGCCAGTTTGCAGAATTTCCTCTGTAAGCCCTTGCAAATAGAATAAACCAAATTAGGCCAATGTTCCCTTTTTAATATGAACCCCTAAATCTGATGAACCTGTTAATAGGGATAACATCTGTGCTGCTGGGTTCATACTATCCCCAAATACAAGAGAGCATTGCAGATTCTTGATGTTTTGGCATTCTGCATGCACTATAAATATTAAACTATTATTTAATATAGAAGCCTGGTGCACAAATTCGTCTGCCATTGGGGTCCCTCGGACTGGCTTGCAGGATATTGGGCCAAAACTGACTCTCCAACATTCCCTGAGGGGTTCCAGATTGTGAGAGGGATCCCCACCAGAGCACGATTGGGGCAGAGAGGGATGTGGTAGGGCTCCAGGGCATGTCCACCCATCTCGCTCAGTCCCAATCAGCCAGAATGACTAAATAGTATCTGATTACCCCAGCAACAAATTAACCTGCAGGTCTGAGAGTCTCTCACCTGGTGGTCAGTGCAGGTCATAGTGAGTGGTTGAAGAGCCTTAGCATATCATTAGTATATTATGCTTTGATTGGTTGAAGAGCCGACCAGATGATTAGATACTTAGCATATTAGACTTTTATTATATAGGATAGATAGATCATTGGATGGGAGGGAGTTGATGGGACATCTGTAATACTTTCAACAATAAAGATAACTTTTAAAAAAAATTTAAAAAATTGCCTTTCAGTCCTAGCTGGTTAGGCTCAGTTGATAAAGCATCAGCCAGCAGACTGAAGGGTCCCACGTTCGTTCCGTTCAAGGGCACATGCTGGGTAGTGGGCTTGATCCCCAGTATGGGACGTGCAGGAGGCAGTCAATCAGTGATTCTCATCATTGATGTTATAACATCTCTCTCTCCCTCTCCCTTCCTCTGTGAAATCAATCTTACTGCATAAAACAGCTTACTATTTCACAATTTGCTATTTAGTTCCTATAAGAAAGTGTTCAGAAAGAAAGGGAACAAGGTATTGCATCACTTTACTATCATTTGTTGAACTTAAGCTTGAAACTGTTAACACACAGCTCAAAGAAATGGGGACAGAAACTGGTTCCTTGGTGATGGAGGAAGGTAAGAGAAAGACCATAAAGCCATTGCTACTTTAGTGGTAGAGGGGGCAGCATGTAACAGTTGTTGCAAATGCCTCTGAGCTTGTAACAGAGGGCTCAACAGTGTTCCATTGAAATAAAAAAAGGGAAAAATTTGGCCCAAATTTGAAGAACCTCCAATGATCTGGGATTCCCAGCAATGAATTACCGAAAAGAGCGATAAACTTTATGGCTAGGAGGAGTTAAACAGAGACGGATGATCAGTTGTTAAGAAGCAATTAAAAAAAATATATATTTTTATTTCAGAGAGAAAGGGTTAGGGAAAGAGAGAGAGAGAGAGAGAAATACCAATGATTAGAACCATTGATCTGCTGCCTCCTGCACATCCCCTACTGGGGATCAAGCCTATAACCCAGGCATGTGCCCTGATGGGGAATTAAACCTTGACCTCCTGGTTCATAGGTTGACACTCAACCACTGAGCCACATCAGACAGACTGTAAGAAGCAATTCTTGTCATGCAGCAGTGGCTTTATGGTCTCTCTCTTACCTTCCTCCATCATCAAGCAACGTTTCTGTCTCCATTTCTTTGAGCTGTGTGTTAACAGTTTCAAGCTTAAGTTCAACAAATGATAGTAAAGTGATACAATAACTTGTTCCCTTTCTTTCTGAACACCTTCTTATAGGAACGAAAAAGCAAATTGTGAACCAAAGTAAGCTATTTTATGTAATAAGATTGATTTCCTGTCTCTTAGAGGGAGGGCAGTTTCCAGGCAGAAGCTGAACAGTAATACATTCTGGACGTTGTGAGGCCAATTTGTGCACTGGGTAAAAAGTTAGAATACATGACTTTTTTGTTAATCCTCACCCAAGGATATTTTTCCATTGTTTTTTAATTTTTAGAGAGAGTGGAAGGGAAAGGGAGGGACAGAGAGAGAGACACATCAATTGGTTGACTCCCACCTGTGCCCAGATCAGGGGATTGAGCCTGCAACTGAGGTATTTATCCTTGACTGGAATCAACCTGGGACCCTTCAGCCTGAGGGCTGACACTCTATCCAGTAAGCCAAACTTACATGACTTTTTTTTTTTTTTTAAATATATATATATTTTTTATTGATTTTGTACAGAGAGGAAGGGAGAGAGATAGAGAGTTAGAAACATCGATGAGAGAGAGTCATCGATCAGCTGCCTCTTGCACACTCCCCACTGGGGATATGCCCGCAACCGAGGTACATGCCCTTGACCGGAATCAAACCC